AACGAGGGGGAGAAAAAAAAAGGTGATGAATTGGATTCTATTATCAAGGGCTATATGGGACATGTGGTAGGTTCGGCTACGGTATCAGACCAAGCGGAATGCAGTATGTACAACAGTAGGAATAAGCAAAGGTAAAATGCAACCCAATGGGTAAAAAAAAAGAGTGTATACAACTTGTCTCAATATGCAACATCGGAAGGGTCCGTATATCTTTGTCGTAAAGCTTCGTAGTTTTCGTTGCGAAAGAATTCTCCTAAATCTTCGCCGACGATATTTGAGATATCTCTAGCTTGCTGAGATTGACAATGAGTGTCTTCGTCATCGTTCGAATGCAGGTGCCAAGCGTTATGCCTGGATGTGTGAATAGTAGAGTGATGCCTGGTGCGACGTTGCATATCAATACGTCTGCTTTCCTCCTCCAATTCCTCAATATATGAATCCGGTTGCTTTACAGAAGAGACCGGTTGATTACTTTTCTGCGAACCGTAGAGATAGTCGGTGGTAGTAGGCGATTGGAAATTCGATTCCACTTGTGAGTGTTCCAGGGAGTTTCTGGCTGGAGCTCGTTCTATGCGTGGTTGAAGAGGTGCTTGAGTCGACTGAGAGGATCTCTCTACTCCTCTCTGGGAGAATTCGTTCTGCGACCCTTTGGCTGAGCCTCTAACTGGTGTACGGGAGCCTGTCCGTCTATTAAGGGATTGAGATCTACTCATGGATGAAGATACGGGTGTCATTAAAGCCATGGTTTGAGGCGGATACTTGGAGGTTGATGGAGACCGAGAAATTCGAGATGAACTGGAGTTCCGACTCGCCAAGCGAAACAATTGCTCCGAATCATTTTGTGAAGAGTTCTTGGTGGACTTGGATGCTGGTTTTGGAGATGCGGGTGGCTGAGCATGAGTGTGTGACTGGGGAGGGAGGGGTCTAGTGCGAAGTTGGACTTCAACTGGGTTGTCATGCTCGTCCCAGCATAGCTACTTATGTGTTAAGATACTACTCAATAGGAGGGCACATGGATACGCACTGTATGTGAGATATGATCTGTGGCAAACTGCTCAATAGCTTGATCGACCTCCTGTCTAGCGCTTCGTTTCTTAGCCATGCCCAGTTTATGTATAGCATACGATCTGAAATTCTTGGGTTTATTATTTTCAGGAGCAGAAGGCTTGGCTGCTTGCTTTTCACCGGCAGGATGACTATTCTGCCCTTTGGCGGGCTGGGTCCCCCATTGTGCCCGACGTTCATCTTGAGCTCGCTTCCATGCATACCATTCCTCTGGATCTTCAGCTAATGTATACTCGGTTCCATCGTCAACCTCGGGCT